CGGGCGGGGCGGAGGGCGAACCGGCCCCGGAGCCCGAGGTGCCGTCGCGCGACCCCGACCAGCTGTGCCGCATGTACGTGTTCGCGCTGGTGTGGGGGCTGGGCGCCTTCCTCGACCTGGCCGACCGCCAGCGCTTCGACGAGTACATGCGCGAGCGCCTGCCCAAGCTGCAGCTGCCGCAGGCCAAGCCCGGCACCCAGGAGACGTCCATCTTCGACTTCGCCATCAACAAGAAGGGTCAGTGTTACGTATCTAGTGACTTATGTCCCGTAACCCTTTATGCTTCCGAAGGTGCCGCGAGCGTGGATGTTTCTAATATTGTGTTAGCTCCATTGCTTTCCATTTGCCAACGGTACTGTCCGTTCCTCTCATTCTCGAGAATTGTCAAATAAAACGCTGTACGTTCCAACAAAAAAGAAATATATAGTTCGAAAGTTCTAGGTGGCTAATCAATCGGCTGTTACCTGCTCCTCGTTTACAAATATCTTTTTCTGCACCAAAAAAGGACCGTTGGAGTATACCAGATCCATGATACTGTAACAAGGAAACGTGTTACAGTATCATGGATCTGGTATACTCCAACGGTTCTTTCTTTCGGTGATGTATTCTTGAACCTCCAATTAATTATATCGAATACCTTTCCCCAATCTTCTAATCAATCGAAGACACTATAAAATGGATAATTTAAACAAGCATTTCACTTTAAATATCCCTACTTAATGCGTAATGTGTCCGTATCTTTCGAACTCAAGCCAACCTCTCCCAAAATAATCTTGCCAGTGTGGCACCCATTACATTATTAAAACTACTTATCTTACGAGTTGACACACTCTTACCAAGTTTATTTTATTTCGTAACAGTCAGCTGTCCCGATTGTTCGTCATATACATCTTCCCAAAGATCGATTTACATGAAATCCTTCAATTGATCGAATTCCTTTGTGAACCTTTGCGAATTCCTTTGTGAACCTCTAAAAGAAGGCTCTTGCTAATTTCAAATCTTGTATTTCTCCCCCTCCGGGTTTGCCTTCTTTCTCTTCTAAATGGCTAAAAATCCTAATAAAACTTGCGAGGTCAGCCAGAAGTGCGTACTTAATGGTCTGTGCTTCGCCACATAAAACATTGAATCATTGAACTGAATTCAGCACTCGCGCCTCCGCGCGGCACGTAAACGAGTTCATTATTATTACTCTGCTGCTGCAATATTATCCCAAGTTACAATGTGTTAACGTGGGATAATAACTTGGCATAATTTTAGAGGAATCATATTATACATGTTAGCACATGTATAATATGATTCCTCTAAAGCAAAACATTTTATTTTTTATTTAAGATTTATATATAATATTAATTTTCTTATTTATATTAAGATTTTTTTGATATAGCATGTTTTCCAGTTTGTCTAATCTCTGTATCTTCTAATACGTTATTATTTGACTTCAAAATCCCCGATATTTTCCTAACAAGCACAAAAGGCCTTCGTGAATCACAATAGGAATTTATATTTTAGAGACACCACAACTTCACGTACTTATGCTTACAATGTTTCTCATCTCACTAACATAATCAGACAAACTTAGAGTCAACCCAAATTAAATACCAATTGCTAGCAGCTAAGTGTAGTTTGCCTTCAAAATAACGATTTCATATTTGGGATTACATTCATATACCAATAAATTATTGAAATAATGGTATTTTCACATCAATAACCAAAATGTAATAAGCAGTATATGCCTAATAACCAAAATATGCACACATAATCAAACCGAAGTTACTACCCCACTTTTTAATCATTCCATTTGAAATTGTTTCGGCTGTTTTCTTTTATTGCAACATTTAAATAAACGTTAATTGAACAGTTTATTTTCATTGTGTGCTATACAGGATATCCGGGGAGGAAAAATCGAAAATTCGAAAATAAAGTCTTAAGAGATTTTGAGCATATTTTGTCCAAAAAACTATGTAGATATTCCGAATGGATGATCCGCAATAAGCGCTCAAAAGTTGTTTTCAAAAAATTATTTCTAGGCAAAAATGTCCATTGCAGAATCATGAAAACGAAACGTAATGAACGGAACTTCGAAAGCATGTAAGTTGTTTATTATTTACAAACGAAACGTGTATATCTGTTCAGAAAGAAAAATTAACCCGTAAATAAATAAGCACCAAATTTACACAATTCGATTGATTTTTTTTATTTCTCGCTTAATTTTAAGAATTAACAAATATATTCACTTGTTTTGCATTTACAATGCAAATTTTTGCATAGAAATCATTTTTTCAAATCACGTTTTGAGTGCGTATTGCGGCTTAGCCATTCGGAATATCCACGTAGTTTATCAGACAAAACATGTTTAAAATTGTCCTAAGAGTTTAATTTTCCAAGTTTCGACGTTTCCTCCCCGGACACTATATAAATCAGAAATAACAACGTAATTTCGTAGTATTCGTCGCGTATCTTGATTTCGCTGGCTCTTGAAGTGTGGTGTTGCGGCAGGCGCGTGGGAGCTGTGGTCGAAGCTGCTCACGAGCTACGCCTACCCGGAGAACTCGACGCCCGACTACAGCAGCATCCTGGTGCCCATCGTGGAGAACGTGCGCGTGGCGCGCCTGGTGGAGCTGATCGCCGAGCAGGGCCACGCCGTGCTGCTCATCGGGGAGCAGGGCAGCGCCAAGACCGTCATGATGAAGGCCTTCATGCGCCGCCTCGACCCCGACAAGTTCCTCAGCCGCTCCTTCAACTTCTCCTCCGCCACCAGCCCCTTCCAGTTCCAGGTGACACTTTTCGATATGCTTCTTCATTGATTGGTTGATTGGTTGGGGATAACAGGCGCGTCAACTACTATGGTCATTGGTCTCGTAAATGTGGCGATTGCCATGTCCTGAGAGGTGAGGGGGTGTTTCTTATCCGCTGTAACGTGCGATCCATCGCCAAACCGAACGTCAGCTTGCGAGCCTTCTCCTCAATGTATCTCCTCAAGGACGACTGCCCCAGTCAGATCAAGCTCTAAACTTCTGACTCCCAGCATGAGTGGTAGTGTAGTGTTGGAAAGGGGTGAGGATAAGACAAAGAAGAGGAAGGAGAGATCACGCGTGGTCCGTGGCCCGTTTGTTAGGGTACTGCTCGGGCATTCGCCTGGTGTTGAACGAAGAATTACCAACCAGGGCATCTAGCCGTTAGAATTCACCTCACAATTCTAATCATCCACTCATTATATGATCACTCGGAGGGGGTCAATAACCTTAAGAGTGTGTCCTAGTCTTAATTGAATAATTGTACTAAGCGCGTCTGTAGTATTATCTGTGAAGTGTTTGTAGTGGTTTTTGAACTATTGCACTGCTGAAGTGAGTGTAATGTTCTTCAATGTCTACACGGCATAAAATTATTAGTGTTTCTTGTATATAATATTATGTATATTGAACTATCTGCAAAGTGTTTGTATTCCCTATTCTCTAACAACTAAAAAGGATTTTATAGATATCTAGGGACGAGAGGTAACAATGACAATTAAATAATCTCCCCACGTGCGTCTGCCATGAACATTTGCTCTCAGATTTGGTCCACCCCAAAGCAACATTTTGATTAAGCATACTGGGTACGACAGGAAGGAGAAGACTGTCACAATATCCCGGAAATGAATGGAGTTGTGATTTCAACAGTGGTTTTAAAAGGTTCTATAAAGAGAACCCACAATTGGAAAGCGCCTGGAGTAGATGGAATACGTAATTTTTGTGAAAATATCTGATATACACTCATGGTATACTGGCGAATCGAGTTCAACAAATTTTGCAAGGAACATCTACGCTGCCAGAATTTTGTATCTTAGTCGTGACATTCAAGTTAACCGAAAGGTGAAAATGCATTTTGCCCTGAGAATTATAGATCCGTTACATGTCTACCTACAAGTTATAGAGTTCTCTCCTCCTTTATTGCCACCAAATTTGACAAGGATCGGAAAGAAATTGAGCTGCTTTTGCCCGAACAGGTTGGTTATAGGAAATAATCTAGAGGATGCCAAGAATTATTGACAATAGATAATATTGTATCTAAGCATGTAAAAAAGAAAACACATAATTGGTTGTGGGCTGGATTGATTTCTGGAAGGCAATTGGTTCCATTCCGCATTCTTGGTTACAGTGATCCTTTCAACTCTACAAGGTTCACCTCTCTATCATTAAATTTCATTCAACGTGCATGAATAGCTGGCGAACAACACTGCATGTTATGAGTGGGACATTGAGTTACCAGACAGATTCTTTGCGAATTTTAGAGGCATTTTCCAGGGATGTAGCCTAAGCTCACTGTGATTCTTCTTAGCGTTGAACCCTTTGATTAGGATGCTGAATGCTACAGACTGTGGAGACACTTTGAAGAATCCCAATAAGATTATTTTCCACCAATTATATATGGATTATCTCAAGCTCTATGCTAAAGAGCCAGAACAACTCCGCAGCATTCTGACAATTGTTGAAAGCTTCAGCAGCGCTGTTTCTACGGATCTTGGTTTGGAGAAGTGTTCTGTTGTTAAGAGAGGTCGCGCCCAGAATACAGCGAATGATCCTCATGTGAATGAAGGGTTTGAGAATTCAGGAACTCGTCAATGGCGATAAATATAAGTATCTGGGTCTCCAGCAGCTCCTAGGAACTGCAGATGAGAAAATAAGAAAACGTGTGGAAAGAAAGGTTGTCATTCGTGTTACGAAAATCTGCAGGTCCTGTATTAATTCGAGAAACCAATTTACAGGAATTAACACCTGAGCTCTCTCAGCAGTATCACATACATTTGGAGGTGTCAAGTGGTCTGAAACAGCTTTGGAAGCTTTCGATAGAAAAGTAGCAACATTTCTATCAAAATATCGGATGTATCATCCTCAGAACTTCCACCAAAAGGCTATATCTTTCAAAATACCATGGAAAACGTGAACTTTTAAGTCTTGAAGTTATGTGCCGCCAGCAAGAAAAGCAGCTCAGAAACTATTTCATCAACAACGAATTTATGACGGACATCTGTGCACAAGATCACTGCTATACACCTCTTAAGCTGCTCCAAGAAGACAACAATCCAAGTTTTCCTAAATCTGACGACCGAATTGAGCAGTAAAGATCAAAGGAACTCCATTGCAGATGTAATGTAATTCTATCGACACGAAGAGATCGACTGAATGGTTGAGAACCGCACCGCTTTTTGGTGGGACGGAAAGATTTGTGCTGGCTATTTAAGACCAGTTAGTAAACACTAATACGAGCAGGCGATATGTCGCGAAAGAGAGTACCAGCGACAAGTGTCTCCTATGAAAGAAGTCCACCGAATCTATTCAACACATCTGCAGTGGATGTTCTCATTTGGCACAAAAATATTATTTATGTCATAACAATGTGGTCAAAACGATTCACCAAGCTCTTGCCAAAAGATCGAACCTGATAAAGGAGAGCTTGCCGTATTACAAATATCAACCGCTGAAAGTTATAATGAGAGAACAAAAATCTTGTGGGATACTGCCATTTTTACAGATAAAACAATGGAAGCATATAAGCCTGATATTGTCGTATTGGACAAAAGTACTCGTAGGACAATAATAATAATAGATATCGCAGTCCCATTAAATTATAACATGTTGTCAACCTGTCAACAATTGCAGAAAGGGGAATACCAGCCACTCTCAATTGAACTGGAAAAACTTATACAAATTAATAGAGGTAGATATTGTACCAGTTGTTATTTCAACTAATGGGCTTGTGGCCGAAGATTGTAGGAATGTGAAAGAGATAGTCCATCTAAATGAATGGCCCTTCAGAACCGTGCAGAAGGCGGAGTTGCTGGCAACCCCAGTATTGTGCGTAAGGTTCTCTCTCTTAGTCATTGAAGAGGAACCTGAGGACACCGGAGCAAGAACTTGTCACCGTCTGCCTTACCATGTGTTGGCGGTCTGTCCTTGAGTTTTATCAGAAAACTCCGTACGAGCGAGAAATTTTGAAAATCGATGTCATAATAATAATAATAATAATAATAATAATAATAATAATAATAATAATAATAATAAAATGGCGATCTGATGGCCGAGATCGTTAAGGCAGTAATGCCGTGTTTTCCTTTCACCCATCATTAATATCATTTCATTTTCCATACCCCCAGGGCTAACAACCCCGGAGGATAAAAAGCAGATCTATCTAAATTCTGATCCCATGATATTCGTAAAATTACATGCACCTGCCACCGAGATAGTGTTACTGAGCACCCTTAAATACTATAGGGTACATGCACGCGTGGCTCAAGTCGGCCTATTCGCGAGAAAATAATAATGATAATGATAATGATGAAAATAACAATGATAATAATAATGATAATAATAATAATAATAATCATAATAATTATGATAATGATAATCATAATAATTATGATAATGATAATCATAATAATTATGATAATAATAATGATGATGATAATGATAATAATATTAATGATAATAAAAACTATAATAATAGTAGTAGTAATTCTGTCTCGGCGCGT